ACCCACTGCCATCAGGTCGATTCTGACTCATAGTGACCTCATAGGGTTTCCATGGCCATAAATCTCTATCAAAGTAGACTGTCAGATCTTTCTCCCTCGGAGCCATTGGTGGTTTCAAACCTCTGACCTTTAAGTTAGCATTCGATTGCTTTAACCACTAGGCAACAAGGGCTCCATTATTTTGATAGCTAGACTATACATGTGATAGATAATACACATACACATACACACACACACACACACCCCATTTGCTGTTGAGTCAATTCTAACTCGTGGTGCCTGCATGTGTGGCAGAGTAGATCTGTGCTTCATTGGGTTTTCAGCTATAAGTCAGAATCGACTCGACGGCAACGGGGTTTTTCAGAAGTAGATCACCAGGCCTTTCTGCTGAGGTGCCTCTGGGTGAATTCAAACCATCAACCTTTTAGTTAATAGCATAACACTTTAACCCTTTGTGCCACTCAGGAACTCCACATAATATATAGATATATACCATGTAAAATAAATACACTATATATAATAATATGTTTGATGGATAGATAGATGATAAAGACTAAATTATGATGTAGTAACAACCCTAAAGTCTCAATGGCTTAAAACAGCAAAAATTTATTTTTCACTTACATTACATTTCCATAATAAGTCATCTGTGGGCCCTTCTCAGCTCTGTCATTGTCTTAGCTCCAGGGCCCAGGAGCTAAGATAAAGCAGCCACTCTGGAATATTTTTAGTCATGATGGCAGAGGGGAAAAAAGAGAGCTCTGGAGGGTCTCACATCAGCCCAGAAGAGGCACACACAACTTCTGCTCACAAGTCATTGGCCAGAACTCGTCACATGGACCTAACTACAAGATGACCAGGAAGTACAATCCTACCATTTGTCCAGAAGGAATAATAATATGAGTATTTAGTAAATAGCACTCATAATGACCATATTATATTTTTAAGTGGTTTTAAAACTTTTAATGTTAAAAATATTCCAAATCCATTTTACCTCAGTAGATTTCTTTCCCTTGCCTGTAAGTTAAATGAGGATGTTCTGTTTTGTATTAATTTTCAGGTAAATTATGAAAAGCTACTTTGTTTTTTAAAAGCTGCAGCTTCAAAGGACCCACAGCCAAGCAGAATAGTTGAGGACAGTGACCTGAGGAAAATCCAGAGTCCTACCAGTCGGAACGAAAGGTATTTTTCCCCCTTTAGGGTGGCATGTTGTTCCTAGACTTCTGAGGCTGTTAGGGATCTTGGAGGCCATTTGCTATAAAACCTTGCCCAATACCAATACAGAGTCACTTTGCTCTTCACCAAGACTTGATTTATGCTTTTAGTTTTCTCTCTCTCACATGCAGACCTGCATAGAAAGTTATTTGCAGTGATTGCATATGTTTCTTAACACCAAGCCTGTGTGTGTGTTTGTGTTTTAATACTATTGTGTTTTCGGTGAAGGTTTACACAGCAATTTAGGTTCCCATTCAACAATTTCTACACAAATTGTTCAGTAACATTGGTTACATTCTTCACTATGCTTGAACATTCTCATTATTTCCGTTCTGGTTGTTCCATCAATCATGTGTGTTTTTATGAGGTTGTAGTGTGAAAATTGAAAGCTTCATTATAAAATAAGACATGATGGTGTGCTGGTGCAGAGCCCATCTATAAAGTATGTTTGCAGAGATAGATTTTGAGTCAGTGAACTCCTGGGTTACAAGCACTAACAAAGAAAGGTTTGCTGTACAGGAAACAATTCTCTCTTCACATAATGACTACAAGTAAAAATAGGATGTGAGGGATATCATTAGAGATGAAGCAGAGTAAAGCATGATATTATTTGCTGAGAGAAGTGACAAAGTACAGTGGTTAGGAACATAGCCTCCTTGTCAGATGCCTGGGCTCAACTTCTATCTCTGCCACTTAGTGGCTGTGTGACATTGGGCATGTTACTTAACCTCTCTGTGTGTCCATTCTCCAACTGTAAAATGGGCATAATAACAGACTTCACTTTATAGATTTGTTTGTAACAGTAAATGTGTTAATAAATGCAAAGATCTTAAAAACAGTATCTAGGATGTAGTAAGTACTATATAACTGTTATTATTTTTAAACTGTCCTTTCAGAAAAAGCTTTTCAAGTACAAATAGTAATGTCACACGGTACTGGTGTTAATTGCTTCACTCTAGGAAATAGCCAGGATTTCCTGTAAAAATGTCCCTGAGCCAAATGTTGGACTTGAGTCTCTTCTACAATGTACCTGTTTTGATTGTGATACTTCATTCAACAAACATTCATTGAATACCAGCTGTTTGCCAGGCACAGTTTATTTTGCACGCAATAAATTCAGAGGTTGGCAAGGCCCGGTTTCTCCCTCCAGGGCTCATAGTCCAAAGAAAACGATACTGCCATGTGGGTATGCTGGTCAAATATCACTGTGGAAACAATTGTCGAGAGCCATAAACCCTAGAACCATAAACCGAGAGCCATAAACCCTAGAAATCTTTCATAATCAGCAACCAGCTTTCATATAATACAAATAGAGAAATTGTGGCCCTGAGAGGTGATAGAATATGCACTAAAGCACACGGCCACTCATGGGCACATATTGGTCTTATGAGTCCAGGACAGGAGGCCCTTTCTGACCCCTCAACTAGGTTAAATGCCTTTGTGATATAGTCCCATAATTTTGGGGGTTTTTTTTCCCCCTTTCAAAACTGTCATTGCACTTGCAATTACTTATTTGACATTTAAGGTTGAGAGCAGTGTCTGTCTTGGCCAACTCTGTGTCTAACATAGTTCTAGAATAGTTCCTGGCAAATGGGAGATGCACGATAAATATTTGTTGAATTTAATCAGCACTCCAGTGATCTAATAGAACTTGCATCACTTCATTTACAGGGACATCTGGATATCTGCTCCTTAATAACCAAAAAAAAGGTGCATAATGAGATCATTTTGAGCTCATCAGAGATGGTATTGCTTTATACAAACCAAACTGTGAGTTTGCGGAAGTGCAGGGCTGATGGTCTGTAATTAATTCAGACTCTTTGTTAATTAATGCGCTGCTCAGGAAAATGCCCTCCCTCAGTTCTTTCAGGTAGAGCCTTTAATGGGGCTGCTCTGTGATGTTTAAAAATGTTCCAGCATTGCCAGTGGCAGCAGGGGTGGCAACAACTCTCATCGTCTAAGTTGGACCAGATGAAATAAACTCTTGCTGCAGGCCTTCTAAGAAACCCCACCAGCTGCAGTAAATGGGTTCCACACAACACCTGCCCTTTCAGTACTCAGCGTACTGAGCCGGGGGCCAAAGGCTGATGGATTCCTACCCCCAGGAACTGGTGTTGCAAGAAAAGAAGAGGGAAAGCTTCTGATTCAAATCTGGGACGGAGACATCCCACTGGCAGGGACTGGGTCATGTGCCTTAGCAGGAAAGAGAGGCTAGTAAAGCAAATAGCTAGCATTTTCCTCTGCTAGAATGGGAAGTAGACTCTGCCCCATGAGCAGGGGCCTATCTACAGAAAATAGCACCTCTGGCAATTACTTTTAAATTGCTGAATGGTCTCTCACAGCTGGCGATGGAAACTGCAATGGCCAATAGAAACTGCTATTAGCACACCTCCTCAAGCTGCACCCAGCACACATGCCATACCTGCCATACCTTCATTAAGCCCCTGTCCAGAGCTGGGGAATTCCCTCAGCAAAAGAAAACAGGGTGCAGAATCTGGGTGACCAAAACAAAGACAAATACCCACTACTCCCCTCCTGTACCAAACTTTTGGAAAACATTATGTGTTATTAAGTAGTTTAGAATAGTGTAATTTTTGGCCAAAGCTAGAGTAAAAGTCACAAAGTAAAAAGAACATACAATATGACCTTTAGGAAAAGTAATAACCAGTCACCATCGAGTCAGCCCCAACTCATGGCAACATATGTTTCCCTTACTATATCTTACATTAGTATGGTACATACCACCAGTGGAGTCCCTGGGTTGTGCAAACAGTTAATGCACTCGGCTGCTAACCAAAAGATTGGAGGTTCGAATCCACCCAGAGATGCCTCAGAACAAAAGCCTGCAGATCTACTCCCAAAAAAGCAGCCATTGAAAACTCTGTGGAGCACAGTTCTGCTCTGACACACATAGGGTCACCAGGAAAATTTATACAGTCTAAAAATAATCAATTCCAGGTACCACGCATGATCCCTGGGAAACCATAAGGCACAAAACAGACATGACCTGTATTTCATGGAGCAGTCTATTAGGAAAGTCAAACTTTAAACAATAACTAAGGAAATAAATATGCAATTGCAATTGATAGAGACTTATTAAGGAAGAGAACGAAGTACTATGAAAGAGTACATCAAGCAGTGCTGTCCTGGAGCCTGCTTGTCATTCAGCAATGTCATGTTGATAGCTTGAAATCGACCATAGCGGGAGTATTTTCACCACAAAAATTGGTAATGCTACAAATTAGGGTTTTTGCTAGTAGAGCCAGTTGTTAAAGATTTACCAGCACACCACAGAAAGGAAGCTGATTTAGATATATGGAGATTGGGGGATGTCACAGAAGGCCCTCTGGGGAGGTGGAATTTAAATTGAGACAGCAGAAATCAGAAAAAGCTTCACAGAGAAGACATTTCAGTGGGACAAATACATTTGAGTGTTGAGTGAGTAAACATCTCAAGTTAGTTGGTAAAATAAATGATTACAACACTTACCACCCTGTTATTTTTCACCTGTTATTTAAAGTACATCTCATGATATAAAGAATCTTGATAATTATGTTTATTGGCATGCCAGATGGTAAGTAAATAATTACTCCCAAAACACTTTTGGGTTTTCTAGATATAAAGAGCAGGCAGCTCAACTGTTTCAGGACTTCCACCAATATAGGTTCCCTGGTTACAGAGGTCTGACAGGATCTGCTTTGCTTCATGGCAATGGATGTTGTTTGGAAATTTGATTTGCCATGAGGAATTATCTGGGATCTGGGCTTAAGAAAAATAAGATCAAGCAGATAAAGTAAACTACTACGATCACCTCTAATTTTTCTCTGAACCTGAAGAACAAGAAAAGAAGACTAGAAAGATGGATTATCAGTTTTGATCTGTCTTGGATAAATTGGTTAGTGCCTCCTGAAGAGACTGTAGAGCTCACTAAAATGGAGCAGCTCTGAGTTAGTCTATGAAATCTCCAAATACAGTCTCTTGACCAGGTTACAGAGATGTAGAAGACTTTATTAGGTGAGTTCTCAGGTCACAAGGTGTGTACAGGGGTGAAGGACATGATATGAAGATGCATAGCTGCTTTGTGTGAATTGTCTTTTCATAGCCTTTCTCCCCTATCCAACCAGCACTTCACCCCAAGACCCTGATTCACAGTCAGAAGTGAACAAGAGCCTAACAGAGATTTTGAAGATGGCACTAAGAGCAGCCAATGGCAAACTCAACACAGACCACCTCAACTTAAGTTTTCGAAAAGAAGATCACTCATTCTCGGGGTGCCTTCCTCCACCCAAGGTAACTAAAATTAAATTTCATATTTGTTCATCTCTAAAAAGCTACTCCAGAGCATTGAGCCCACAGTAAAACACAGTTATGATTTGTATTCTGCCTGTGGATTACATTATACAATTGTTTGGTGCTCTCAAGAAGTAAAACAAAGTAAAAAAGGAATTGTGGAATGTGCAGAATTGATCCAGGAATCATTTACATTCAACTATATTTTATGCTAACAGTAGAGAATATGACAGTACCCAAATAATATTTCACAATTGGAAAAAAAATTTTTTTTCCAAGGCCAAATGTTCATTTCTCACGCCCTCTCCAAGCTTCCAGTGAGGTCAGCATGTAATGCCCCATTCGTTAAGAAGACCATTTTAGGGATCGATGAATTTATTGCTGATAGAGAGTAGCATGTTGTTCGGAGCATTAATGGTCAGTGCAGATGTGTTTCATAGAAGGGGATCCAGAACCATATTAATTCATGTGTCTTCTTTAGCCAACACACCCCAATCATGAGGCTACTTCAGATATAGGTGAAATAATAATTACCACTATGACCACAACTCCATTAACACTACTTCGCCACCATCTCCCTTTATTGGGTTCTTCCAATGTGTCAAGTACTGTGCTAAATACTTTACTTATTTCTTTTAATTCTTACAGACTTAATACTTACAAAATATATGTAGGTATTATTATCCCCATTTAAAAAATGAACAAAAAAACCTGATTTTCAGAAGTATCAAATCGAATCACCCAAGGGCAACAGCTACTAAATGACAGAGGCAGAATTCCAAGCACAGAAAAGTAGTGGAGATTGAGGGCCAGAATTGGAACTCCATTTATGTAGAAGATACCTGGAAGATTCAATTCAGTCCAGTATAAAAGAGTTAGAATTCTGGAGGAGTAAAAAGAAATGGAAATTACAAAATTAAATATATATATATATTCTGTAGGAAAAATTAGACAATGCCTTTATCTACGTAGACAAGAATTGGAGTTGATATCAGAGAATTTAGAAGAACAAGTGATGTGTTACTAAGGAAGCAAGGGAAGGATATGCTGAAAGTGGTCTCTTATTCTGGGGCAAAAGCAGCTTTCTCAATGCTTTTGTTTATAAGATCACTGTGCAAAGCCATAGCTCATGTTAATGTGTGTGTTCATGTTTAACTAGAAAGACAGATAAAACACTACAGGAAATTCCGCTTCTCATAAGTGGTTTTTACTCTGGTCCTGAGAAGATGGGTAGAAACAGACCAAGAAGCAGCAATTCTTTCTTAGATTGGAAACCACATAACACTATTTCTGAATGTTCTCAAATGATACTTGTAGAATGCTATATAAATGACTTGAATATTAAAATACTTTCTCTTAAACTCATTGAGTCTCAGATTTTTTCATCTGGAAAAACTGGGTTCCAAATGTCTACCTCCTATAGCTGTTGTGGGGATTAAATGAGATAATTATGTGAAAGCACTCAGCACAATGTCTGATATATAAGGCACCTAGTAATTATTACTTTCCTCTCCTTATTTAAAAAAACAAAACAAAAATAAAACAGTATTTGGTGAGATTCTTACTTCAAAACAGCCTAAGGAAAGAAGACCTTTCCCAGAGTCAAATAATGGCCACACCAACACTATCTGAGCAGCCCTTGAAGGTTCTTCCCCTCACGGCTGGCCCTGAAAGCTTAACTTTGTAGTTCATATCCAAAGAAATGGGACACATTTTCCTTGAAGCTGGTTTGCTTTTTGTAAGCCATCTGGCATCTCTTAAGACATCTGGAACTCACTCAAAGTATATTACAGTTCTGGGAGGCATGTAAAATAGAATTCTGATCCCTCAGAACGTGAGGCAAATTGAGGCCCAAGGGACATTGGATAGAGAAGCAGCAGCAGTCACGCCCCAACTTCTTTGCCGCTGGGCACAGGACTTCAGAGTGGACTGGGGAAAAGCCACATGTGAACTGGAAGGGTTCTTCCTTTTGACCAGAGTTCTTAATCTCTTTGAGATGGTTGAATTTCTCTTTGAATTTCTCATGAAATGTATGTACCTTCTCCCACTGTGGGGGAGGGGAGGATGTACATCCAAATAGTCACCATTTCAGAGGGTTTGCAAATCATTTGTACCTTTCCAGAAAAATAAATGCAGCCTTAAAGGATAGTTTATGAGCCTTGTCATTAAACTCAATGGAATTTTGACCATACACAAAGAACAGTATAGAAACATATCAGATATCTGTCATCATTCATCCTGTGGATAAGCGTTCATCCTGTTCCCTCTAGCATGTGTTTGGCACAGTGATATCTTCTGGCAGGGCTGCTGTGGCAAAATGGAGCCACATATATTTACTTTATTAACTACTCTGGCCATTACCAAAGTCAGGTCTAGATTCAATAGATCTGTAGATCTTAAGAAGTTTCCAATCATGCAGGCTCAGTTTAGCCCTTTCATACATAGTCCATAGTCTTCACCTCTTGATTTCATCCTGTTTCTGCTTTAC